GCAACAGCATGATAAATGAAGAAAAGATTGACGTAGTTAAGGGTTTCATTTTACTTGGATGCACAATTAATGCCCATAGAAGCAGCAGTCAAGAAATCAAACAACGCATGCAACGGGCAAATCTGCTGCGAAAGATCTCTTCAAAGTGTTAAAAAAAAAAAGCAAAGATGTCATTTTCAGAACTAAGGTATGCCTGACCCAAGCCATGGTATTTTCAATCGCCTGGTATGCATGCAAAAGCTGGACAATGAATAAGGAAGACCGAAGAATTGATGCCTTCGGATTATAGTGTCGACGAACAATATTCAATATACCATGGAATGCCAGAAGAACGAACAATCTGTCTTGGAAGAAATACAGCCAGAGTGCTCCTTTGAAGTGAGGATGGCAAGACTTTGTCTCATGTACTTTGGGCATGTTATCAGGAGGGACCGGTGCCTGGAGAAGAACACTGTGCTTGGTAAAGTAAAGGGGCAGCAAAAAAGAGGACGACCCTCAACGAGATGGACTGACACAGTGGCTGCAACGATGGGCTCAAACACAACAACGATTCTGAGGGTGGCATAGAACTGGGCAGTGTTTCATTCTGTTGTATAAAGGGTTGCTATGAGTTGGAAACAACTCGATGGCACCTAACAACATAATAATAACAATGCTACCTCTGGAAGATAGTTACATGATCATTTCTCTTAGAGACAAAAATATGAATAACCAATGGTGAACTGGTTGAATAAATCATGGCCTGTCAATAGAATGCTTTCAGCTATTTAAGTTACTGTTAAATGTGAATGATGCAAAAAACTGAATATAGCTCCACCTTTGTCAATGAAAATACACACACTCATATATATGTGCACAGATAACGTGTTTGTATACGATTGTGAGTATAAAGAAAAGTATGAAATTAATTAGCACTGATTATCTCAAGACTTGATATAGCTGAAGTTGCTATGAAAGTGGAGGAAGTACAAAAATCAGGAAGAAAAACAATACATTATAAAAGTCACATTTATACAAAATTTTATGTATGTGTATATGTGTGTGTACTTAAACAAATTCTTTAATTAAAAGAAAGGCAATTGTTGGACTGGTCTATTTATCCCCACTGGTTCCAGAAACATGCATCTAAATAAAAAAAAGTGAATGCCTTAAGACTTCTAGAAGTAAAAACTGAGAATAGTGATGTTGTGAATCAAATCAGTACATTTTCATTTTTAAGTTAGTAATTTTGTAAAGCTTTAGTTATTTAAAATTATATTTCTTGGCTCCATTCTCCTTTAATAATAACAGCTATCAATAAATTATGAAGCCCTGGTGGCACAGAGCTCAGCTGCTAACCAAAAGGTTGGCAGTTCGAATCCACCAGTCGCTCCTTGGTAACCCTATCGGGTAGTTCTGTTCAGTTCTGTAGGATCGCTATGAGTCAGAATCGACTTGATGGCAACGGGTTTATCAATAAATTAAAAATGTCTGCTAATGGCAGAGTAGGTGGTAGATACCAGTACTCCCTTTGAAAATTAGTAAAGGTGCAAAAAATTTTAGATACATTTAATTTTGTTGAAGACATAGGAGAGCTACCAAGGAAGAAATTGCAATACATACTGGGTGAAGGCCATCAGGGATTGCTAGTGTTCCTAGCTTAGTCACCTGCTAGAAGAAAAGGCAAGCACTCTGTGGAAGAAGAGATCATCCAGACCATCTATCTCTACAAATTTTAATGCACAGTGTCTGACAGTTGATTAAAAAAATATTCAGGTATATGAGAATACAAGACATGGCCAAAATCCAGAAGTCCCTGCCCTGACACCAAACAATAAAAACAGGTCAAGAGGAGATCCTGACAATGGAATTATCACAAGAAAATGAATCAGATGCATTATTTGAATAAATTACAGCTAGGAATTTCCTTAAATGCACAAAAATCACTAAGCCACAGTTTTAAATAGCACTGCAAACCCCAAGCAGATAAATATATAAAAAATCACACCTACACATATCATCGTACAATTGCTGAAAACAAAGGACAAAAGGATAAATTTTAAAGGAGTCACAAAAAATAAAAAAGCACATTGCCTTCAAAGGTACAATTAGCTTGACAGCTCTCTTTGCAACAAAGCAACACCAGGCAGACTGTAATGAACACCTTCAAAATGCTAACAGAAAATAACTGCCAACTTAGTATTCCATATTCACTGAAAATATCCTTCAAATATAAAGGCATTTTCCAAAACTGAATTTGTCACCAGCAAAGTCAGACTAAAACAAATACCAAAGGGTGCTCCTCAGTCAGAAGAAAAATGATTCTAGAGGGAAACTTACCACTTTCATGAATGAATTATTTTTTGTAATTTTTTGGTGAAATGAGTCAGAATCAACTCAATGGCAATGAGTTTTTGTTGTTGTTGTTTTTTCACTAATGGAATGTATACTGAATCACTGAGTGTTGGTGTTATGGATTGACTTGTGTCCCCAGAAATGTGTCAAATTGGCTAGGCCATGATTTCCAGTGTGATTGTCCACCATTTTCTCATCTGATATGATTTTCCTATGTGTTGTAAATCCTACCTCTATGATGTTAATGAGGTGCAACTAGCTGCAGTTATGTTAATAAAGTAGGACTCAATCTACAAGATTAGGTTGTGTTTTAAGTCAACCTCTTTTGAGATATAAAAGAGAGAAGTGAGCAGAGAGACAACAGGACCTCATACCACCAAGAAACAAGAGCCAAGAGAATAGTGCATCCTTTGGACCTGGGGTCCCTGTGCTGAGAAGCTCCTCGACCTGTGAAGATTGATGACAAAGACTTTCCCCCACAGCCAACAGAGAGTGAAAGCCTTCCCCTGGAACTGGCACTCTGAATTCGGACTTCTAGCCTCCTAGACTGTGAGAGAATAAATTTCTCTTTATTAATGCCATTCACTTGTGGTATTTCTGTTATAATAGTACTAGATAACTAAGACAGTTGGTAATCTTTTGTTATATAATATGGTTTTTTATTAATATTATGTGGTGCACATATATACCAGTGAAACCTGGAGGTAAGATAGGTGGAAACAGGCAGGAAAAAAAAATTTTTTTCTTATAAAATTTTTTGTTGTTGAGTGGAACATCATTATGTATAACTGCCAAACCACTGTGAATCATGGCCCAGCAATGTGGACATGCAACCTGAACCATCACAACAGTATAATACAAATATCATACCTCCAAACCAACATAAGAATACACAAGGCGAGACATTGCTTAATTCCAGCCTCCTGTAAAACTAAAGCCCCAAAAGGAAGTGCTGTCATGGGAACATTACCAGTGCAATAAATTACCTCTTACTGTAGAAGAAGTACTTACAGCTCAGAAACCAGAAGATAGGTCCTTGACAATTGCACGAAAAGTACATGCAGTACACAAAGGATGCTACAACATGTGCTAACACTGTATTTTTCCCGAAAATAAGTTTTTCACATGAATATTACCGAATTCCGAAAACCGCACCTACCCAATAACACAAAGATAAAAGTAAATATCCTTACAAGGCTTATCTCACTGTTTAGAATTCCAAACAGCCAAAAAAAGGTAACTTTTACTTATTTGTAACTGTGTACATGAAGCATGTCAAAGATGCATGTTTACAGTGTATTTTGCCTGAAAATAACTTACGCACTTGAATATTATCCAATGCCAAAAACCACAACCTCTCAGTAACACAAAGAAACAGTAAGTGTACTTACAAGACTTATATCGCTGAACAGAGGGGAATAAGAGACAAAAGTTATTCACAGTCTCTCCTCCCGGCTACAGCACTTCCTGTAATAACCTCTCAGCACAACAACATGGCACCAATGAATAACCTTCCAGTTTACATAGTTACAGAAGTGTCTGCCCTGAAACCAGCACATATTAAAAATGTTACAAAAGCATACCTGTAAAACCCAGAGGTGGAAAATATGAGTGTAGCTTATATATACCAATACATATGAAAGAGTTAAAGGACAGGAAGGAATAAAAAGCAATGAAAAGGGTAAACATGTGGGTTAATGTAAATATTGACTCTACAACCATAATCAACTATATACAGAATTGAAATGAATGACATCAATACCATATAAGTCAGGAAGTGAATAAATGGAGTTAATGTTGTAAGTCTTTGTCTTGTCCAGGAAGTGGTACAAATACTAATTTATATTAGCCTTTAATAAGTGAAGTATGCATACTGTAATCTCTAGGATAACCACTAAAAAAATAGTAAAATAATGTATAACTAGCAATGTTATGAAAAATGGCATAATAAAACATAATCAATCAAAAAAGACATGGAGAAAACAAAAAAAGAACAGGCTCTACAAATAAAAAGCAAATAGATTTAAAACCAAATATATCAGTAATTACATTAAACGTAAATGTACTAAATTCTGCAATTACAATACAAAGGTTGTCACGCTACATAAAAACCAAAGCTCAAACGTATGCTGCTTTAAAAAAGCACAACTTACATGTAAGAAAGGTGATGTGGCTGTATTAATATCAGATATACTACATTTTAAGGCAAAAAGCACCACTGAAGATAAAAAGAGACATTTCATAATGTTAAAGTTTCAATTAACAGGAAGACTATAACAATTCTAAATTTGAATACATGTAAAAACAAAGACTCAAAATATAAAAGCAAAAACTGGTAGAGCTAGAGAGAGAAAGATTAACAATTATTCTGGAAGATTATAACACACTTCTTTCAGTATCTGACAGAATAAAAGTTGATAGTCATAAAAGTCAGTAAGAACATAAAAACCAAAACCAAACCAGTTGCCATCAAGTTGATTTTGACTCATAATGACCCTACAAAACTGAGCAGAACTACCTGATAGGGTTTCCAAAGAGTGCCTGGTGGATTAGAACTGCTGACCTTTTGGTTAGTAGCCAACCTCTTAACCAGTATGCCACCAGGGCACCAGTAAGAACACAGAGGATTGGAAAAACAATTTTAAAGATTAACTTGTAGAGACTGGGAGGGGAAAGGAGGAGTACTCTTCCAAAAGTTCAACTATATTTTATCTTCTAATAAAACAAACCATTAGGAAACATAATACATTTGTGTTTCATAGTAATTTAGTATATAATGTATATGTAGAACATAGATTAACACGATTGAGAGGAAAATAATTATAGGTTTTGAAATCCATTTTCTTAATTAGTCTCTTCTTCAAACAGAAATCATAAGAAACTGCAGGTTTCTGTGGACCAGCTTGAGGATCCAAAGTACTGTTATCTAGACCTGAGGTTCCTGTGGCTCAGTTCCATGATCTTAGGGCCAGTTCTTTGATGATAAGTAGTCTGTGGGGGCTTTTACATAATTGATGAACTTTTGGCCAGAGGCTGGGAGCTCTTGTATACCTGTTGGATGTGAGGAACCTACTGCCACAGCTGGGAATTAATAAATGAGGGAACATATTGGTTACCTAAAGAGGATAATATTCAAGCCTGTGGTTCTAATTTGCCAATCTCAAAGTGAAATTTTAAGTTCAGAATTTTGTTTTCTGAGTTTCCACACATGAATACATACTATAAATAAAAAATGATGGTGACTTTCCAAAGAGGGGGAGGATAAAAGCAATTCTTTAGTAGAGTTCTGTCCTTAGCGTCAATTTAAAATTTTCACAAACATTTCTGGTTTCTTTCTTCAGAGACCTGAATTGCCTATACTTTGTGTTCTTAGGGTATTTAGACAATGAAAAATTTTCTCACCACTGTACTCATTATGAAATTTTCTGGTCAATATTGAATAGTTTTGCTACCGAGAGCAAGGAAGACTCAAAAGCTCTGAATTTATAAAGCTACTTATTCAAAAAGTGGAACAAGAAAGATTGCAAGTCATCTACCTGCATATTTACTTCTGTTATCCACAGGGGCTTGACAATCCCAGTATCTTTCGAATAACCAAGTATGGCCATTATACAATACTTAAACACTTTCTCCAAAGTGTCTCCCCATATGTGCAACTGAACATCAGCTATGTGATCCGTTTCCACACTTCTAACTAGAGGAGAACTGACCTTGATTACCTTCTGCTTCTCAGTCAAATTGCAGTCTCTCACATCTTTGTATCTCCACACCATGATTGTGGCATTGGGCACTCTACTTCCCCAGAATCAGATTTCTGAGGTATACTGAGTTTTGGCTTCCAGTTTAAGGCTTTCTCAAATTCACTGCATTTATAGGGTTTCTGTTTAGCATGAATTTTCTGGTGTTTAATAAGATTTGATCTGATGGTGAAGGCCTTTCCACATTCAGCACATATATACGGTTTCTCTCCTGTGTGAATTCGATGATGCTCATGGAGCTGTGATTTCTTAATGAAGGACTTCCCACAGTCACTGCATTCATAGGGTTTCTCTCCAGTATGAATTCTCCTATGTCTATTTAAGTGTGACTTCTGGATGAAGGACTTCTCACATTCAGTACAAATATAGGGTTTCTCTCCTGTATGAATTCTCTGATGCATAATTAGTGTTGATTTTCTCGCAAAGGCTTTCCCACATTCACTGCACTCATAATGTCTTTCTCCAGTATGAGATTGTTGATGTATATGGAGGCCTGACTTCCGAGTGAAGGCTTTTCCACAGTCACTGCATTTATAGGGTTTCTCTCCAGTGTGAATTTTCTGGTGTGTAAAGAGATTTGATCTGTCAGTGAAAGCCTTTCCACATTGAGTACATATATAGGGTTTCTCTCCAGTGTGAATTTGTTGATGCACATGGAGTTGTGATTTCTTAGTAAAGGATTTCCCACAATCACTGCATTCATAAGGTTTCTCTCCAGTATGAATTCTCTCATGTGTAATAAAATGTGACTTGTGGAAGAAGGCCTTCCCACATTCAGTACAAACATAGGGTTTTTCTCCTCTATGAATTTTCTGATGCATACTTAGTGTTGATTTCTGGATGAATGCTTTCCCACATTCACTGCACTCATAGTGTCTCTCTCCAGTATGACATTTCTGATGTATCCTGAGCCGTGACTTCCAGGTGAATGATTTTCCACAGTCGTTGCATTTATAGGGTTTCTCTCCAGTATGAATTTTTTGGTGTTTAATGAGATTTGACCTGTCAGTAAAGGCCTTCCCACATTCAGTACATATATACGGTCTCTCCCCAGTATGAATTTTCTGGTGTATAATGAGATTTGTTTTGTGGGTGAAGATCTTCCCACATTCTGAACACGTAAAGGGATTTTCTCCTGTGTGAATTCGCTGATGCACATGGAGTTGTGATTTCTTAGTAAAGGATTTTCCACAGTCACTGCATTCATAAGGTTTCTCTCCAGTATGAATTCTCTCATGCGTAATAAAATGTGACTTCCGGATAAATGCCTTCCCACATTCAGTACAAACATAGGGTTTTTCTCCTGTATGAATTTTCTGATGCATACTTAGTGTTGATTTCCTTGTGAAAGCTTTTCCACATTCAGTACATTCAAAGTGTTTCTCTCCTGTATAAATTTTTTTATGTATATTGAGGCCTGAATTCTGAGAGTTTTTTCCACATTCACTATGTTTATAGGGTTTTTCTCCAGTATTAAAACTCTGAAATCTGAACAGATCTGACTTCTCGATAAAGGCTTTCCCATATTGATTGCATTTATAGTGATTCTCCTCAGCATGAGCTTTCTGATGGTTTGACTTGAGGGAAAATTCCTTCCCATATTCAGTGTATCTGTAGGGTTTCTCTTCTGTATAAACCGTCTGAGCTACACCAAGTTGGGGCTTCTGAGTGAAAGTTATCTCACATTTGCTGCATTCATGTTGTTTTTCTTCAGTATAAATACTTTGATGTGCAAAAACATGTGACTTCTGAGTGAAAACATTTATGTAGTCTGAAAATAAATAGAGGTTCTCTTCAGTATGAATTTTCTGATGTTGAATGAGAGCTTGCTTATGACTCAGAAGTTCGTTGCATTGATTACATTCATAAGCATTCATTTCTGTATGAGAATTTACCTGAGTGAAATTATTACCATATCCGATAATCTTATCAAGATTTTCTTTTGCACTGTTTCCATTATGATTATGTGAGTTTGCAATAGGATTCAAACTCTTTCCAAATGAGTAATAGTTATAGAGCCTTTTTCTTGAAGGAACAAGGTCTGTGTTTACATGAACTATTTTTTCTATGTCCTTATATTCATAGCCCATCTCATTAGCTAATATTTTCTTGTTGATTAAGGCAACATGACTTGAAAATTTGTTTTGGTTTTCCTCATATCTCTCTGTCCGTTCATCATCTTGCCACAGTTCTTCTATAATGGAATACAATGAGTCATCTCTTGTGAATAGATTAACTCCCTCATACTGGAATAAAACTTGTTCAGAAATTCCCTGTTGTGAAGTTTCAAATCCAATATCCCCATCTAAAAAAGAAAGAAGAAATAAAATTGACACAAAGAACAGCTAACAGAAGGAATGAAACATAGTTGATTCAGGGTGAACACAGAAATGGAAGAGCTATATATAAATATAATAAATACATATAAGTAAAATCATATTTATGTATGATATATGCTATAATATATAATAAAAACATATTACATTTACTGTATGGTAAATCCTTGACAACTTCAATATTTTCTCTGTTTAGCTGTTACTCATAAGGTTTTCACTGGCCAATTATCTTAGAAGTAGATCACCAAGTCCATCTTCTTAGTCTGTCTTAGTCTGGAAGCACCACTGAAATCAGCAGGTGACCCTGCTGGTATTTGAAATACCGGTGGCATAGCTTCCAGCATCATAGCAACATGCAAACTACCACAGCAACATGCAAGTTGAAGTTGTCAAGGAATTCATTTTACTTGGATCCACAATCAATGCCCATGGAAGCAGCAGTCAGGAAATCAAACGACATATTGCATTGGGCAAGTCTGCTGCAAAAGACCTCTTTAAATTGTTAAAAAGCAAAGATGTCACTTTGAGGACTAAGGTGCATCTGACCCAAGCCATGGTGTTTTCAATCGCCTCATATGCATGTAGAAAGATGGACGATGAATAAGGAAGATCAAAGAAGAATTGATGCCTTTGAATTATGGTGTCGGCAAAGAATATTGACTATACCATTGACTTCCAGAAGAACGAACAAATCTGTCATGGAAGAAGTACAGCTAGAACGCTCCTTAGAAGCAAGGATGGCGAGACTTCATCTCACGTACTTTGGACACGTTATCAGGAGGGATCAGACTCTGGAGAAGGACATCATGCTTGTAAAGCAGAGGGTAAGCGAAAAAGAGGAAGACCCTCGAAGAGATGGATTTACACAGTGGCTGCAACAATGGGCTCAAACATAGCAATGATTGTGAGGATAGCGCAGCACCTGGCAGTGTTTTGTTCTATTGTACACAGGGTCCCTATGAGTTGGAACTGACTTGATGGCACCTAACAACAACAACATATGATAAATAACAGCAGTTAGATGTACCAGAAATTGTTTTAAGTTCCATATTAACTCATTGAACATTAGCACACTTTTTTGTTGCTATTACTGTTTTCCCCATTTTACAGACGAGGAAACTGAGCCACAAAGAGTTAATTTGCCTGTCTTAGTCATCTGGTGCTGCTGTAACAGAAATACAAGTGGACGGCTTTAACGAACAGAAGTTTATTCTCTCCCAGTCTAGTAGTCTAGAAGTCCAAATTCAGGGTGTCAGCTCTAGGGGAAGGCTTTCTCTGTCAGCTCTGGAGGAAGGTCCTTGTCATTAATCTTTCCCTGGACTAGGAGCTTCTCTGTGCAGGAACCCGGGTCCAAGGGACATGCTCTGCTTCCGGAGCTGCTTTCTTGGTGCTATGAGCCCCCCTCCGCCCCGCTCCCTTCTCTCTTTTATATCTCAAAACAGATTGACTCAAAACACAATCCAATCTTGTAGATTGCGTCCTGCCTCATTAACATAACTGCCACCTATCCCACCTCATTAACATCATAGAGGTAGGATTTACAACTTAGAGGAAAATCACATCAGATGACAAAATGGTGGACAATCACACAGTACTGGGAATCATGGACACAGCCTAGCCAAACTGATGCACATATTTTTTGGGGACACAATTCAATCCATGACATTGCCCAAATCAAATGTTTAATGGTTGGGAAAGAAGAGATTCAAACACAAGCAAATCAATTTCCTTATGTAGTAGAACTGCAGTGAGAAGAATAAAGTGACAAACTCTGTGGCTTAAAAGAAGTACTTCTGAGTCTAGATCCTTATTATCTTTCATCTTTAAAGCCTCACTAATCTCCTTGCTTTTCTCCATTAACCACTGTGCCCCAAAACTATCGTAGCCTCTGCCTTCCTGACTTAGCCAAACAGTAAATAAATGCCTATGATTCAGTTCTTTACCTCTGGTTTTGGGTGCAGAAATACATACATCTAATAGGAAACATATAACAAGAGAAAGGGCCAGCCATCTGAGGCAGACTGAAAGCTATTATACTGGGTTGACTAGTGTCTCCTTTTGCGTAAAAGAATTTAACTTTACCCAAAGAATTTGGTCTTTGTCCGTGGTTCCTAAGAGATAACCTCTAAAACCTTGAAATTTCCCCAGTAATTTAAGTGCCTTTGATGTGTGTGCCAGACCACACCTAACAGGTTATGCTAATGAGGTGACTCACCTCATGATAGCAGCTGACCTTAGTGGAGGGGGCATGACTCAATCATGCCTACAAAATGAGGTCCCAGTAAAGGCTATGGACATGGAAGCTCTATTTTGGGAACTCTCCTAGACACCTAGGAGAACTCCCATATGCATCTCTTCATTTGTATTTTTTTGCTGTAACAAAACTGTAACCATAAGTGTAGCACTTTCTGCAATTTTTGTGAGTTGTTCTAGTGAATTATCAAACCCAAGGGAGTGGGAACCAAAAAAAAAAACAAACGAAAAACCAAACACATTGCTATTGAGTTGATTCCAACTCATAGCGACCCTACAGGACAGAGCAGAACTGCCCTACAGGGTTTCCAAGGAGTGGCTGGTGGATTCGAATGGCCAACCTTTTGGGTAGCAACCTGAGCTCTTAACCACTGTGCTACCAGGGCTCCAGTGGGAACCAGCAGGTCAGAAAGAAGTGAGAATGTCGTGGGGACTCCCAACCCAGAATATGGCATCTGAAGTCTCGGGCAGACTTGGCAGTCTGGAGAATTGTTCCTTTAATTTGTGAGCTCTGACCTAGTGCAGGGTAGTAAGGGTCAGAGTAAGAAATGCTACCTGGATAGCCGGTGTCAGAATTGAACAGAAAGGGAACAGTATTGAGTTAAATTGGTCTTTACACATTTGGTATTAGAGAAGTGAAATTTGCCTAAGAAACAAAACCCACTGCCATCGAGGTGATTCTGACTTATAGCAACCCTGTAGGACACAGTAGAACTGCCCTATAGGGTTTCCAAGGAGCAGTTGGTAGATTTGAACTGCCAACATTTTGGTTAGCAGCCAAGCTCTTAACCACTACACCACCAGGGCTCCTGACTTATCCTAGCACCTGCTAAAATTCATGTGCTTCCAGGAATGTCAGAATGTGACCTTATTTGGAAATAGGGTCTTTGCAGATGTAATTAAGATGAGGTCATACTGGAATAGGGTGGGCCCCAATCCAATGACTGGTGTCTTTATAAGAAGAGGAGAAGAGACACACAGACACACAGAGGATAATGCCATTTGATGACAGAGGCAGATATTGGAGTGATGTGTCTACAAGCTAAGGAACACCAATGACTGATGGCAACACCAGAAGCTAAGAGAAGGCATAGAACAGACTCTTCTCGCAGAGTCTCCAGTAGGAACCAACACAGCTAACACCTTGATTTTGGACTTACAGCCTACAGAACTATAAGAGATAAATTTGTTGTTTTAAGCCACCCAGTTTGTGGTAATTTGTTATGGCAGCCCTAGGAAGTTAATGTAGCTGTCCATCAAAGTCTGTTCCCCTCCTTTACCGCATTAAGTTTGCAACCGTGTGCGGTGTAATGGGTTGCTTTTTGTGTGGCCTTTCTAGCCATGGTCTTGTAACTCCCACCCAGGTGACTGGGTGGGGCTGTGTGATAGGATAATTGTGGCCCACAAAGGGGATTGGTCAGTTTTGCCATCCCGCTGGGCTTGAAATGAGCCATCCCAGAGGCAGGAAAGAGAAGAGTCCACCAAGGAAGTAGAGACCGGCAGGAGAGACCCACAGGAGACCCACAGGACATGGTGTAGTGGGATTCCCAGCCCACTGAGCGAGAAAGCTGAGTGCCTGTGGGCAGAGACTGAGGGCCAGGGAGAAGCCTATCCTGATCCAAGAATTTGGGACATGCCAGCCTCCACAACCACGTAAGCCACTTCCTTTTTACGGTGAGTTCTGTGGAACACTGCAGTGAATTAGGGACCCCAAAGACGGGAGGGAGAGTGCTGACGGGAGAGGAAGTAGTTAATGTTAGAGATGATGGAGTGGTACAGCAGCTTGGAAAAGCTGGACATTTGGGACATTTTTAACCTCTGCAGCATAAGAACCAGCGTTGTGCTAATCCTTATAGAAGAAATTATTCGTTTACCATGCATATGGTTGTCTCACAACACCATGTTTTCCAACCTCATTTGCCATTAGGTATTGAAGTTCTCACCAATGAAATGGGAACAAAAATTATATTTGTTACTATCCAGCCAACGTCTTAAGGAAGTGGGTGTGTCTCATCTAAGCCTCTTCTCTTTCCACTGGGTATCTTCCAGACTTAGCAGCACCCAGCTCTGTGTGGCCAGCAATGCCCTTGGGCCATATCCAAGCCTCCGTCTGAAAACTAAGAATGGTTTTTACATTTTTAAGTGGTTGGAAAAAAATTTTTTTAAAAATTCATGGCACGTGAAAATTATCTAAAATTTAAATTATAGTGTGTATAAAGTTTTTATTGGAACACAGCCACACCCATTTGTTGATGTATTGTCTATAGTTCCTTTTAGGCCACGACAGCAGAACTGAGTATTTACAACAGTGACCATATGGCCTGCAAAGTCTAAAATATTTACTATCTGGCTTTTTACAGACAGGTTTTGCCAACCCCTGCCCTAAGGGATGGTTGTGCAATGACTCATTAGAAACTTTGTCCCTGAATGGCCATGAGAAGTAGAGTTGCCTGGTAGGCCTGGACTACTCACTTTAGAACTGTCATGTGAAGAGTCAATTTTTATATTCACTAAGTCACTGTTTCTTGGGGTGTCTTTGTTCCAGGAGCTTGACTTTAATATATCATTCTGACTCAGAATGAGAATCACTAATATTCCAAATTCTGGAATAGCATGTAAGATACGGTATATGCTCAGTGAATATTTATGTTAAAAAAATAGATTATTTTTTCTTATCCTACTAAAGTTCTTGAATATAGATAGAGTCTGATCTCAT